CTGTGGAGGTCGAGCTGGGTCATCGCTCAACCATGACCACTGCTCATGCCCAGATAGAGGCTCTTTCCCCCGCCAATGACAGCCTCAATAATCTTATTCCTAGCAGCCGTTTCGAAGTTTACAAGATCACGCCGGAACAAGGTTCAGAACTGGATCTTCCCCGAGACAATTGCGTTACCGTTGTTCAGGCAACCCAACCGAGGGAGATCATTATGAAATTCTCCTACAAGGACCTGGTTTCCGAACGGATTGCAGTTAGCGTGAGTCCTTTTTGTCGTACGGATGCAAAAATTGAACTTTTTCGAAGCATATGCCATAGCGCTTACGCATAATAAGGGCCTTCTGCACTTGCAAATTGCAGATAGTTTGGAGAAGTCCTTTATAGCCTGAAGGCTAAGGAGTACGGGTGAATAGCAATACTTCTAAAGGATTTACAATGTCGTTATAAAATGCATTTGAAATAGGTGTTAAACAGGGCTCAAGGTAATTCCCACGATAACCTGCTGTTGAGCGAGCAATAACTAGCAAACGACACGTGCAGACGTTATTAGCACTACCACAAGTTACTCATCTGCATACAAAATTACATTCGAATGCTCATTATGCGGAATTGCGGTTTACTTTGCTCGGGTATTTTATCTAGTAAGCCGCTGACCTTATTTAGAAGTTGATCAAATTGTAGGGTCTTTACATCTCTAAAAATATAGGTGTTCTGACCATAACAGTTTCACCGTCACCAACGAGGACGTAGACCGTGTGCCAAATAGATTAGACGCATTTCTAGCGAATTGTGCGTGAATTGCTTCATGGCTATAGCAGACTTTTGCTGTATCTATCGGAAACCCACACGTTGCTTGTTTTGATTAAAGCAAATGTGCTGTTGACGTAGAAATATGACATAAAAACCGGTTGTTCAGATCTCTGGAAAACCTCTTCGTTAGTTTTTCCAAACAGAGTGCAGTCAAGCGTTGCGCTCTTTTTACATATGCATCTGGCAGTTTTATGTGAAAAGTTGTCAAGAAAAACCTCCTCGATCGATGAAGTGAACTTGGCTGAGCTGTTTGCCAGTTTCTTGATACGTCTTCTCGAAGATCATCGATTATATTCACGGCCCACCGGGCACGATAGAGGAATATAATGAGGTCACGACAACCGACAAAACGACATGGCCTGCTTTCACATCTGAGTTACGAGAGCATCACAGCCTTTCAGCCAATTTCACGGTATACTTCAAATAAACCCTAATGAAGCAAAGTTGTTGTTAGAGCCACATTGGCAGAACAATTTATGAGCTGTCAAATAGTGAGACAACGGGGCATGGGCACACTCCTGACCGGCGCAGTTTCGGTAGGTTGTCAAAGAGCGCCATCGCAGCAGTAATGTCGTCAGCGGTCAGCACTTTCCTTCTTGTGAAGGCTCTCACCTTCCAAAACAGCTCCCGGCCCTGAACACCAATAAGACTCCTTGTCCATAAGTGGACATTATACGTTTTTCCAGTACCTGTAATCGGCAATGAAAACCATCCAGAGTCCTTTGTCTTCATTCCCCAATAATCTCCAAAGTTTTTGTTTTTCTGTTCCTGAACTCTTAATTTGGACATTTTTATTTGAGGAGTAACTTCGGTACTTGTTGTCTCACGGCTGGCTTACATTTTTCATCTGTCCCACACAACTGCAGTGCAATTCGAAGTTTGCTGGGACACCTTCCGACCACACATCTTTTG